AATAATTAATATTAATATTATTATTATTATTATTTAAAAAAACTCTTTTGCAGGAGCGGCTTTTATTTAAAAATAATAATAAAAAAAAATCGGGCAGCTAGCTGCTGACATCTTTTAATTTTTTTTTTTTTTTTAAAGAAACAGGTAGCAGCTGCTTAAAAAAAATCGTGAGCGGGCTCGGCTCGGCTTGACAAGGCTTGAGCCGGAAGCTCGAGTTGAGTCTAATTTTTTTGGCTGAGCAAAAGCTTGGCTCAACTTATGCTAAAAAAAGCTCGAACAATTTTTACTCTAGTCGAGCCCGAGCCTCAAGTTTCGGGTTGGCTCGGCTCATTGACACCCTTAGTTATATATAACTATGCTATGTGTTGGTACAATGTTTTGACAAAATATCATATCTTTCAATCTTTTTTTCTTAAATTAATTTGAGTCCCTTTTGAACAATTTAAATGTTATGAAGAGAGATATTTGGATTTTTGTTTAAACATGTTGACAGTTTATTGAAATTTTGTGAGTATTGATTAGTATTTGAAACATAATAGACATTCAAACATTATTGATGATGACTTGTATTCGAATGTCTATCATGTTTCAAATATTCGAATGTCTATCATGTTTCAAATACTGATCAACATGTGTTCTATTTAACATCTACAAATTAAACAAAAATCCAAATATCTCTTCATAATGATTGTTTTCCAAATACTTGCATTGCTTACAAGATTTTACTAACCAAACCGATTATAGTTACATAAATTGAAAAATATTTCTCTTAGTTGAAATTGATTAAGACTTATTTCCGATTGACAATGTCACAACAAAGATTGAATGGATTGGATATGTTATCCATTGAAAAAGAAACGGTTGAACAATTCGATTATCCAAAATTAATTGATATTTTTGCCTCTAAGATTGCAAGACGATCGTTTAGAATATGTTCGCATTGTTATTTGATTGTAATACAAATATTTTGAATATCTCATTTTATTTATTGTTTTATTTTTGATTTTAAGTTAAATAAATTTAGTTCCGTAAAACTCTTAAAAATGAAAAAAATTGATTGCTTGGTACGATTTAGGAGCCCAAATTCTGAAATTCGTCTCATAGCCTGCGAAATACAGGTACGGCCTTGCATATATGAACTTAGTTTGATGTTATATATCCTAGATTTGATCTTGGATTTATTGGAAATTAATTTAACCTATTAGGTAGTATTTGCAGCAATTTATAAACCAAAAGTGTATTTCATGAATAATACTATGTAGAACAATTGGCACACGTCTACATGGCGACACAATAACATTACAATGATAGTTTCATGAAATAGAAGAGATATGCCATACGTTTTATTGGATCTATCATTTTATGTCTCTATATTGTGATGCTCATGACACTAGTAATGCATCATAGCATCAGTTTGTGAATGCTTACACTAAAAGTTGTGTTGTAAGATGAATTTAT